CATCATCACCACCATCATCACCATCATCATCACCGCCCCCATCATCACCACCATCATCACCATCACCATCATCACCACCATCATCACCACCATCATCACCATCACCATCGTCACCACCATCATCACCATCACCACCATCGTCACCACCATCATCACCATCATCATCACTGCCCCCATCATCACCATTATGACCATTACCACCATCACCATCTTCACCACCATCATCACCATCACCACCACCATCCTCACCCTCACCACCACCATCACCATCATCACCTCCCTCACCACCATCACCATCACCATCATCACCCTCACCACCATCATCACCACCATCATCACCATCACCCTCACCACCACCATCATCACCACCATCACAATACTTCCTGATGATGCCTCCACATTCCCTGCCTTGCCCTTATGACCTGTCCTTGGCCTCCAACCTGCTGTCTACTCCCTCAGTCCTCTTCTGGTTGGAAACATTCCAGAACGGTAATGCTCGGCTAATTGTTAACTCCCATTTGTATTCCTCCAGAGCTGGCCTGCCCTCCCTATAGCCATTATGAGCTCTGAGGCTCCCTGCCCGACAGCTGCCTGACACTACGCCAGGAGGGCTGCCACTGTGACATGGACCTCGTGCTCAGGGGCCCTGACTGCATGCCCCTCATCTAGTGTGGCTGTTCCTTGGGTGGCAGGTACCACCTGGTCAGGGAGGTTTTTCGGGCTGGAGAGCACAGAGAGCAATTCTGCCACTCTCCAACCACGCCGTGTGCACGCTGTTCCCCCTCTTCCTGTGGGCCTGGGCAGAAGTGTGGGAGCCTGAGAGGCATCTTTGGGTCACCCACTCTCCCCTGGCACCTGCCAGGCATCTGGGCACTCGCACATCGCCACCTTCGATGGGAGGACTGTTGAGCTCCCAGGCACCTCTGCTTCTGTCTTTGCCAAGTCCCGTGGCTTCTCTGGCTCACTGCCCTTTTTCCAGGTGGAACTTGTGAAGGAGAGCTGGTCCTTCTCAAAGATGTCTATCCAGGCGAACAGTCTGAGATTTGTCCACAGAGAGAAAGACTTGACCTGGCCAAGGTAAGCACTTATTGGCTTCTAGAGATACTTGGACTGATTAAAGCTAAGTTGATTAAATGCTTTGGCCAACGAAATAAAAATCATGTCACATATTCCAGTGAAAGTGCAGTGATTCTGGGTCTACAGAATTTCACTGTGTACTAGTTTGATTGTTATTATTTACAAATAACAAGATACCTCATTAAAATTAACTCGAGCAAGCCAAATTTTTAGATTCATAACTGAAAATTCCAGAGGGAGATCAGGCATGATTTGATCAGGGTGCTGATTCCATTTCTCAGCATTTCTCTTGGCTTGTGGTCCTCTCTGGTGTTAGCTTTGTCCTCTGGTTGGCTCTTCCTGTGGTGGCAAAATGACTGCTATTTCCAGGTCCCAAATGTGCATTTCCCACTATTCAAAGCAAAACCCAAATCTTTTCTTCCCTCAATTACTAAGCAAAATTCTGTGCCTCACTTTGATTAGACCCCACTGGACCAATGGTTGTGGCCCAAATATTATCTTAGCCTATCTGGTCCAACCTTCAGGAGCTGTAGGTGAGAGAGACCCCCCCCTACCCCCAGCCCTCACAGCTGTTCATTGCAGGGAGAAGGGTAAAATGGGAGCCCACCCCACTGGGTAGGCTCAGGTTCCCAAACCAGTATTTCTTGTTGCAACAATCAAAGGATGTAAATGCCCTGGAAAACCTCCCTTCTGAGACCTGAAAATTTTATCTGGAACCCATAGGGGTGGATGTGTTTTCCACGCCTGAGGGCCCCTGCCTACAAGAGTTCCATTGTTGGCTGTTGGAAAACACACAGCCCTGCCCCTTTCACCCCACCCCCTTCCAGGAAGGGAACCAGCTTTCAGAATTAGTCACAGGCCGCCAGCCTCCCACACAACAACCCCATTGAAGCCAAAGGGCAACGCGGCAGGGTGAGTGCTATTCTTAGCCTAATTTACAGATGGGAAAACTGAGGCCCAGGGAGGGAGACTGGCTTGCCTGGAGTCACATAGTGAGAAAGGGGTGGCGCTAGGATGTGAACTTAGGCTCTCTGGCTCCAAGTTCCTTCCCTCTCCACCTGTGGGCCTACTTTGTGCCTCCAAAGTGTGATCTACTCAGGGAGAGTAAGGTACTTGATTCGTCTGTTATGAAGCCTGGGATATAGTCACTCTCAAGAATGGTTTTCATTCAGTCACTCAACAAATATTTCTTGGGCACCTACTATGTGCCGGACTCTTGTGCTTGGCGCTGGGGACACAGAAGGGATGAAAGAGCTAAGGTCCCTCCCTCCCAGAGATGACATTCCAGAGGCAAAAGAGATAATAAATATAACCAGTAAGTGCGTAATCATACACTATGTCAGGAGGTGGTAGGTGCTAACGCTACGGGGGGAAAAAAAAGAGAGAGAAAGAGAGAGAGAATCGGGTGGGGCGGGGTTTCCAGGTGGGAGATGTAGTTTTGAATCCAATGGCCAAGGAAAGCCTCATCAAGAAGGTGATGTTTGAGCAAAGCCCTGAAGAAAGGAGGCGAGGGAGGGACCCATGTGCGCACCTGTGAGGAGAGCATCTCTGCTAGAGGGAACGCCAAGTGCCAGTGTCTGGAGGCTGGAAAGGCGCCTGCTGTGCTGGAGGACCAGCAGGGAGGCCGGTGTGGCTGGAGCGAGTGAGCAAGTGGGTGAGCCGTTGAGGGGGAGGAGATGATGACGTCAGAGAGGTGACAGGGGACCAGCCAGAGGAGTGACTTACAGCTCGTGGGTCATGGTGAGGACTTCGCTTCTGCCAGGAGAGAGGTGCAGCCAGGGGAGGGCTCTGAGCCAGCAGGGCCCTGCCCTGACTCAGGGGTTCAGGGTCTCCCTCCAGCTGCAGGTGGGCAGGGAACAGACCCAGGGCAGACAAGGGAGCAGGGATCCTGGGAAGCAGATGCTGTGGGGTCCAGGACGGGGAAGATAGAGAACAAGCCGGGGGGCGGGCAGTGGGGGAGAAGTGGTTGGTTCTGGAAATATTTTTTGTGGTCTAATTCTCTTTTCTAACCTGCTGTCTGTTCATGGGACCCTCAAATTTACGTGGGATCCTGTTGTCCTTTTGTCACTACCCACCCCCCCCCAACACACATACACGGGTGTGGAGACAGATGACCTGGCTTGGCAACCCAACCTTGACCCTTCATTACCTGTGCGCCTTGACACTAAGTGACAGCCCCTCTGTGCCATACTTGCCCCCACCGGGTGAGTCATGCCTGCCCAGTGCAGCCCAGTAGAGGATCATTCGTTGAAAATAGAGTGAGTCAGTCAGCGATAGTTGGTAAATGACTCAGGGATGCGCATGGGTGTGGAGTTGGTTCTGCCCAGCGTGGCTCCGCCTTCTTAGACACCGAGGTGCAGGGGGGAAGAGAATGGGAATGCCGGGACGTCAGGGGCCCCTCTGCCAGCAAGCTGCTGGGTCAGGGCCTCCCCGGAGCCACCGACGCCAGCCAAGCTCTTAGAACTGCAGACTCATCTCCCTGCCTCTATAGCCAGGCAGGAGCCTGCCAGCCCCAGCGCCAACCCCAGAGCCCCACGGCCCCCCGGCGGACGGGGCTGGGCAGCCAGGAGCGGGTGAGGCGCCCCCAGCAGGGGAGGGTCGGAGCTGGGCACCCAGGGGTCAGGGGCGACGCAACCCATCCAAGCGAAGGAAGAGGAAGACACTGTGGGAGGGCGATAAAAGAACACAAGCTTTTATCCATGAAGAACGAAATATATACAATATTTCATATATACCACATGCCATATACATAAATACATAATTTTCTAAGTCCAATTAAATTCTGTTTACTTAACAATTTATCCAATTCTGCATTTACCTTGTCCTCCATTCTTTTGCCATTGTTTTTTTATCTTGCAGGGAATTATTTTGTGTTAAGTTTAATTTGAAATGTTTGATTCCTTTTCCACAACTTTTCGTTTGAATTTTTGTCACGACAGGAAAGTTACGTAAAGAATACAATGAACCCAAATACCCTTCACGGAGATCCTCCGATTCTTACTATTTTGTCTCATCTGCTTTCGCTCCATCTATCTGTACCCTAGGTATTATTTTTTTCTGAGTGTCTTGCCTTGCAGGCGTCTCCTGCCCATCTTTGAGCAGGCGGGCACCGTGAAAGACTCGGTCTTCTCCACTGGTAGTTGCCCATCAAAGCCGTTTTGGGAGGGAGTCACAAAACATGACCAAGTCTTTCCTTAATTGTGCCTTTCCCCTCACCGTGGGCAGACTCGGTATGACGGTCCTGGGGTCTTTCCTGCATAAACCATGCCCGATCCAACCTGGGCTGCGTCCGTCCAGGGTCTGCGCTGTGATGGAGGGCCCAAAGGTGGAAGCAGGTGTGACACAGGAGGTGTCCCTGTCCCATATTCCCTCCCATGAAGCCTCAAACCAGGGGGAGATGGCCCTGCCCCTCCAGCCACTGCTGCCAAGTGGGAGCATGGGCCCAGTTAGGCTGTGTCTTCCTCATAAACTAGAAATGCAGCTTAGTATGTTGGAAATATCCCGATGCTTAAACGTTGGTGACTATTAATTTTTGCAACACTTTGTGAACCAAAGGACACATGTACAATAGTTGGGTTTTGGCCCTCCTGAACATCAGAAGCAAATGGCAAAACCAAAATTGATAAATCTGAGTCAGTGACGACCTAACACCCTATGGCTTTGATTTCGTACTTCAGTTCGGCATTCCTGAAAACATCGTGATGTTCAGAAGCTATCTGTGGGTTTGGTTTTTCTCATCTTGCGAGAATTCCTAGGATCCTGAGAAATCACAGCTAATCACAGCGTCAGCCGATTCTTTAGGGCCAAATGATGTCAAAAGCAAAATGAAGGGGAAATATTATTATCTATATAATATAATAACATGTATAACATATATTCACATACAAAAGATTATATATACATACATTTATATATAGGGAGAAAGAGAGAAGGAGAGAGACTTCAGATATGATTGAAGTCAAATAGGCCTAAAAGACACCCCAAAAGAATAGAATGCAAACAGCTGCCCCCACGACTCCTGAAAACCTTCCCCAAGTGTCAGTATGCACACCTTGGCCCGTCCTCATGGGGGTCTCAAATCCTGCTTCTCCAGGCCAGAAGCCCCATCCCCAGGCCAACACACACATGGACGACACATTCTGGTCCAGCCGCAGGGGGAGGTTATGGTTGGCCTGGGTTGGGTCAAAGCCCCATTAATGTCTGTATATCTAAATGCAAGGCCACCGTAATTAAAGATTCAGGAAATGAAATTGGCAGAAGTTTGTCCCCCAGGCTGAAACCAGCCCTTTAGATGTATTTTGTTGGATGTGCGTAATTTTTTAAAACTGCATATTTAAAAAAAAAATCTAGCCAACTTTTTTTAAAGTAATCTCTACACCCAACGTGGGGCTCAAACCCTCGACCCTGTGATTAAGAGTCGCATGCCCCACCGACTGAGCCAGCCAGGAGTCCCTGAACCAACCAACTATTGGGAATTCCGTACAAAGATTCAGGTTTCTGACATCGACTGAAAATGTAGCAGCAATTGGCTGGGATTGTGTAGAGACTATCCTTTAATTACGTTTTTTTCAAAGTTGGACATTTTCAGAATATAAAATTCAAAAGGTACAAGAGGGAGTCTCCCTCCACCCCACCCCTCAGCCTCTCATTCCTCCACCCCAGAAGCAGAGTATCCAAAGATACTTCATTCAGGAACAAGTGTATGCATATACATTCTTTTCCGCCTCACATCTATACATCTTGCTTTGTCCCCGTACCAAGATGTCTGGGAGATCCTTGTGTCTCTGTCCACATGAGCTTGCTACAGTCGTTTTGGTGGTTGCCCTTTTTTTTTTTTTTAAAGATTTTATTTATTTATTTGAGAGAGAGAGTGTGAGAGACAGAGAGCACGAGAGGGAGGAGGGTGAGAGGGAGAAGCAGACTCCCTGCTGAGCAGGGAGCCCGATGTGGGACTCGATCCCAGGACTCCAGGATCATGACCTGAGCTACAGGCAGTCGCTTAACCAACTGAGGCACCCAGGCGCCCCTGGCGGTTGCCTTTTAAACAGAACAATAGTTCTCCCGTTTGCCCAGTTGCCAGTGCACCTTAGGGTCTCATGCCTGTCCTGCTTCACTCGTTCACAATTCTTGCCTGGCCCCTTTGGCATCTGAATTTGCAACCTCTGGCACAGGCCAAGGACAGCCTAGCCACGGAGCGCTCGCCCCTTCTCGCTCTCTGAAGCCTGCAGTTCCCGAGCTTCCCAGCAGAGGGAGAAACCACTCAACTGCCAAGAGCACCAAAGGGGTCTTCCCAGGGACATTGTAATCTTGAAATGTCTGGGCAAGGGATGCATGCTATCTTCCCAGAGACAAAGACCCCCCTTAGCTGGACTGCGATCCTCCCCTCCAGGCCTCCCTTAACTCTGTTTGTCTCCCCCTAAACCTCCCACTTTGATTGAGCCCCACCCTGAGTGCCCCCTTCGCTCCCTGTAGGGACTGGCCCCTTCCTAAGGGAGCAGGGTGGGGTGGGGAGGCTTTGTCCTGGTCTAGGGCCTGGGATTGAAAAACTGCCTGAGGGAGCTACATAAAGAAAGATGTATTTGGGCGTGCCTTCCTTGCTTCCCCATCCTTTCCTGCTAGGAAGTGGGGAGTCCTTTCTCCCTGTCCCCAGCAGACAACCCCCAGCAGTCTTGACCTCGGAAACCCCCTTTCCCCATCCTGCACTCCACACTCTCCCTGGCCTGCAGCCCTCTGCCCCACCCCCGAGATGGTGTTGGGGGTCGCCTGGAGCCCAGCTGGTGGCCAGTGCAGAGCCACCCCTTTCCTGGCCCTGCCCCTCCCCATGACCCCAATCCTCCGCCAGCCACTCAAAGGCGCCTTGTTCTCCATCCAGCCCCCAGACAAAAGTCCCTCTGTCTAAAAAAGCAGAATTGGGGGGAGGGGGCACCCCAACAAGGACCATGTGGGGGCCTACACAGACCCCAGCCAGAAGGAATGCCATGAGGAGGAGGGGCAGAAGGGGGAAGGGAGGGGAAGGGAGCCTCGCACAGTGCAATGACCTTATCCGGAGTGGGAGGCATCCTCCACCCCAACGCCCACTGCATAGACCCCGGCATCTGGCTCCCAGCACCCTTGGGAAGAGCCTGAGCTAGGAAGGTCTGCTTGATGCTCAGAAACCAGTTGCCAATCTCTCCAGGGCATGATGGGCACGTAGGATAGAGGTCATGGTCTAAAGCCCAACAGCCCTCACCCCTCCACTCCTACCCCTTGTGCACCCCCACTCCCACCTCATGACCTTGGTCATATCAGCCTCTTCTGCTGACCCTCAAACTGTCAAGAAGCAACGAGTGGTCTGGAAAGGGACCTTAGATGTCCCACAATTGCCACCAAGCCCTCCTTCAAGCGGAACGCACAAACTAAGTGAAAGAAACTAGATTATTACACCAATGCATCGCTTTTCCCCACCATTCTGCCAGGCAGAAGCTTGGCTGTTAAAGACCCCAAACTTCTTCCGTCTGGGTCCTTTTCACAGGGGCAAGAGATTGAAGAAAGCCCCCTCCCCAGAATTCCAGCCCATCCCATGCTCCCTCTGGCTACCTGAGGCTGCTGTGGCCTTGGGGCCTTGGGGACCTCAGGGAGCTCCCTGCCATTAGTGGCTGGGAAGAAGGGGTGGTACCTGTCTCTTTAAGAGCAGGAATGGGGTGAGAGAACCCCTGAGCTTTAGGGAGTCCGACTTGTTCTCTACCTGCCCAGGTTTGCCTAGGGCGTGGCAGCTGCAAATAAAGGCAGGACTCAGGCTTAGCAGCCGCGTTCTCTCCCTTCTCTCCTGGAACTTTCCAAGCAGCCTGGGGAGCCACACAGGTGAGCCACAGGGGCCCCCTACCCCCAACATCCTCTTGGCTCTGCCCCCAAACTATCCCTGCCCCTCTCTCCACTGATGTCTGTTAAAGACACTAGAACTTCCTCCCTTTAAGGATCTTTTCTGGGGGGCAGGGGGGCAGGAGATTAGAGAAAGCACCTTCCATTAATGTGATTGTCCCCCCATCATTCTCCCTTCAGGCGGCTGGGTGAGCTAGCTGGGATGAGCCCACAAGTGGGATTGGGGTGACTGGGTAGATCTGGGGTGTCTGAGTGCAACAGAAACATCTGGATTGGGGGCATCTGGGTGGATAGGGCTGGAGAGGGGTGCCTGGGTGGATGGGGGTATCTAGGTGGATCAAGGCTGGATTGAGGGTATCAGAGTGGATGGTGGTGGTGACTGGGTGGACTTGGGGTGTCTAGGGATTGAGGATGTATGGGTCCTGGAGACCTCTTGGAAAAGGGGATGGTGGCTTCCTGGGGAGGCTGTAAAACGGGGGGGTTGGGTAGGAAATTTCAGAGACATGGGGGAGTCATTCTGCATAGGCTTGAGGGGTCTGGCTGTCATCACAGAGGAACAGAGGGGATAGCAGGGGGCGGATGGTGGAAACGGCGCTCACACAGGTGTTGGGACCGGCAGGGCGGGGAAGGAGCCCAGAGGGGTGAGCAGAGCCTCCATCTGCAGGCTGTCTTCCTCTCCAAGCCTTCACACCAACGACAGTCAGTCCCCCGGAGCAGCTCAGGAGCCCCTTCCAACAACAGCCTGGGCGGGGAAGGTTGAGGGCAGATGCCCAGATGTGACAACATACAGCATTAAGCTGAGTTAGCAGGGGCTATGGGGCTGTGATAGCAACGTGGGGTAACCACAGCTTCATCAAGCTGCGGAGATTGCATGAGCGAATAAGTGCGAAGAGCTGCGACCAGTGCCTGGCAAGAGGTAAACGCTCATTGGGCACTAGCTCTTATAAGTGGGGTATCATCTTGGGGTAACAAAGCCTCATGAGGCAGCTTTAGACAGTAGGTGGTCCTTCTCCAGACCTGCGCCTGGAACCACCAGGCTGTGCTGCCCACACACCCACTCTAGCTCTTCTCCCCAAATCTGTGGGGTCCTGAATGCCTTAGTAATGCTCCCCAAAGCTCCAGGCCCCCTTCCTGCAAGAAATGGATGCATTTGAGTCCACCATATGGGATTAACAACTGAGAGGTTGCCCAGGACCTGAATGGGCACAGGGAGAGGGAGGAATCTGTGAGAACATGCAAGAAAGAGAAAGGAACACAGGGTGGGGGTGACATGGAGGGTGCGGAGAGAGACGGGGTCACCGTCTTCCGTGGTGGAGAGCAGTGGGATGACAGAGCAGGGAATGTCGAATGGCTTAGTGAGGGCATGTGCTGTGCCATGGGCTAAATGAGGGCTAGAACGGATCGCCTCTGGGGGTGCCCGGGGCGGGGGCGACATGGGCAAAGACACAGCAAGGTCATTGGCCAGTGCCCAGCACAGGGTGGCGCGGAGGACGTCCTAGCTCTTGCTGTCAACATCTTGACAGTGTGTCCTAGTGGCAGTGGGGCCGGGGCTGGGGGAGGGCCGGGGACACACAGAGACGGGGGCTTATCTCAGGCACTTGGGATGGGGGGAGGGTGGGCTGATACCAGACCAGGAAGGAGATGGAGGGGTTCTTCTTGCTGGACAGGCCTATCTGGGGAAAGAGGAAATAATGGCTTCCAGGAGGAGCTTGGCAGGAGCAGGGGCAGATTCGGGGGCAAGGGCTGGGGCAGGGGTAGGGGCTGGGGTAGAGTCAGGGGCAGGGGTTGGGGCAGGGGCAGGGGAAGGGGTAGGGGGTTGGGGCAGGCGTAGGGGCAGGGGCTGGGGCAGGGGCAGAGGCAGGACAGAAACGAGGGGTTGTGGGGGGCAGAAGTCGGGGCTAGGGCTACAGCCCGGTGACTCCTCCCTGCTCTGGCCCCCACCCCTGCCCCAGCCTCTAGTTCTCTCCTCCCCACACCCTGCTCTGAGCAGCCTGAGGAGCCAGCCCGAGGTCTGCAGAGTCTGGGCAGGGCGGGCAGGCTCTGAGCTGTCTCCGAGAGACACACCCGGGAACCGGGCCTCCTGACACCTGGCTCCCTCCATCCCGTTTCCCAAAACACCCCGAGGCCCTGAGAGTCCTGAGCGACAAAGAGCCACGGCAGAGCCAGGCTGCTTTAAATCCCACTCTCTCGCGAGGTGACCCTATGCACCCATTTTCAGCTTTCAGAGCCTCAGTTTCCCCATCTGTAAGATGGGGCTAACAGCAGGCAGCGCCTCCCTCATTTGGTCACCAGGGCCATTCACGTAAAGCCCCAAGTCTGTGTCGAGTGAGTGATTCGTGCGACTCCTCTCCAAGTCTGCGTTGTCACCCACCCCCTGCACTTGGCGGCTCCTTCTCATCTCCCAGCCAGGCCTCTCTGCCCTGGGGCGAGCTGTGTATCCTGGGCGGGAGCAGAGTAGGAGAGGATGGGGACCCAGAAGCACCGGTCTGGCACCGCCCGGCCTACTAAAGCTGGACCCTCCCCACCCACCCCTACCCCTCCAGGCCAGCTGGCTGACATGCAAGAGGTGACACTGAGCCTGTTCATCCTCCTGGCAGGTGAGTGCCTGTGTCCCGGACTGCCTTTTCCCCAGACCCCTCCACTGAGGGGTGGCCAAGCCCTGCATGTATGTGTCTCTCTCTCTCTCTCTCTCTCTCGTGCTTTCCGCCTCCCCTGTGCGGCGGTGACTAGCTGGACGGCATCTCCTTGAGGGTCACAAGTGTCGCCCTGGGGCTTTCAAGGTGCACACACAAAGACAGGACCCCTTACAGCAGCGTCTCACACAGCTAGTCACCCCCTTGAGGTGTCCTTGATGAGAGGGCTCAGCCCCGGGTGCTGTGTCTTCATCACCTCCCTTGCACTTTATTACGAGAGGTAACTGGGAGCTTCGCGGATGCAGCAGTTATGCAAATCCTTTGTGCCTCAGTTTCCCCAGCTGTAAAAATACGGACAATACTAGTAAGTACTTAGTCACTGCGAGGATTGTGCGAGTCACTGCACAAGTTAGTATTTGAAAAGCAGTTAGAAGAGGGCCCGGTACAGAGTAAGCACTATGTGCTTGTGCTTTAAATATAATTAAAACTTATTAATCGCCCTTTAACAAACAAAGAACAGAGCTTAGGCCCAGACCTCAGGTAGCCCACTGCTTCTGGCCAGAATGTAATCCTAGTCCTTTGCTTTTATTGTATTTTTTTTTATCCCTTACATCAGGCAAAACTGGCATTCCATTCAGGGTAGTGAGAGAGAGCTGCATTTTTAAAGAAAGTGTGTTAAGTTTGTAACTAGTAATTTGCTCTGAAAGGAAGCGGTGAGCAAACACCAGAACAGGTGGGGTGTGGACGAGGCTCTGAGAATGACTGAGAACTGGTACCGTCTGTTGTCTTGACAAGAATGTTGTTCGGTTTCTGCAGGAGGGAGGATGCCAGGTGTCTGGAAACATGAGGCCAAAGAGTGGTTCTGAGCCAACCAGATTAAAACCTATTTCGGAAAAAAAAATAATAATAAAATAAAAAAATAAATAAAACCTATTTCGGGAGGCAAAATGTGGATGGGCCCGTGGGGCTCACAGGTGTGGGGCAGTGGAGGAAGTCCACACCTCCAGGTTTGGGGCCGGACCCCGGTGCCCTCAGGAGGCGGGGACCGGTCTATCGGGGGGCCTGAGGCTCTGTGGCCCTGCCGGCCGGCTTTGCTGAGGCCAGCACACCATCCCCCTCTTCCCGCTTCTCCCAGCAGGCCTGCCTGCCTTGGACGCCAATGACCCAGAAGGTGAGTCCGACTCCTCCACCACGCTCACCCCCAAAGTCTCCCCCGCACCCTTGCCTCCTGGCTGTTGTCCTGGATTCACATGCTTTTTTCCTTTCTTTGCAGATAAAAACAGTCCTTTCTACTACGGTGAGAGCTTGTGTCCCTCTCTTGGCCGTCCCCCACCCGCACCCCCTCCTGCCACTCTGTGTCAGGGGTCCCACACGGCCTGGGTGGGGGTCCGATGTGGGCGAAACAGGGGCGAGGATAGGAAGGGGCAAGGATGGGGAGACACTGAACAGTCATCACAGCGGAATAAAGGAACGAGCCACGCCGATCTGGCCCCTGGGAAGGTTCTCTTCCGGCAGGATAGGTGCGCACAGGAAGCCAGGACAGTTCCCAAGAAGCCGTTGTTATGGTTCAAATCAACTGCTGGGAGGAGGCTCGCTTTGCAAAAACTGCCCGGAGGAAGGGAGCTCTTGGGTGGCCTTCCTGCTGGTGCTCAGACACAGCAAACACGCTCCAAACCCCCAGACCTTTGTACCTTCCGATCCCCCTGCCACGGCCCCCCTGCACCCACTCGGGGCTCTGCTCAGAGAGGCCTTCTCTGACCAGTCTCCCTAAAAGAGCTGCCCTCTGACTTTTTGTTCCCTGGCTCTGCTTATTTGTCTTCAGAATGCTTATCTCCACCTGACCTTCCATCAAATCTCTTATCGCTTGTTTGTGTGTAAAGGAGAAAGCACAGGAGGGCTGGGGGGCTGTCTGTTCTCTCCGCTCTGTATCCCCAGCTCCCTGTCCGTCATAAGGTGCCCGATACCTACCTGTCAAATAGATGGAGGTTTGGACAGGGAGGACACAGGCAGGCACTGATGGCCTCATCTGGGTTTCTCCTAGACTGGCGCAGACTCCGGATCGGCGGGCTCATCTGCGCCGCGGTTCTGTGCACCATCGGCATCATCGTCCTCATGAGTGAGTGGGGACACTGGTGGCTGAGCTGGTAGGGCAGGGCTGTGGGTCCCCTCCCCCAACCATCCCTATTCCCCTGACAGGTGGGAAATGCAAATGCAAGTTCAGCCAGAAGCCCAGGTAAGATGGGTTCCCTGTGTGCCCGCTTCATACTGAACACACACCTTTCACCGGTGAGAGAGCTAAATCTCGCAGATAGAGGCCTCCCGGTTCTGCCCCGGAGAATTCCTGCCACTGAGATTTCCCAGGTTTATTCTTCAGAGCTGATAATCTTCAGAGGGTCCCAAATCCTGAAAAGCTTTGGTCCCATTCCAGGAAAAATAGCCAGGAAGCTATGTCAGGGCAAGCTGAGAATCTTCTAGCCTTGAGGGAGAGGACAAGGGGGATGGATACACATCTCACCACTTTTCTTTCCCTAGCCACCATCCAGGGGACGCCCCACCTCTCATCACTCCAGGTAAGCCAGGAACAGAATGGGGATGCAGGGAACATGGGATGTGAGGGGTGGGCGCGTGCGAGTGTGCGTGCCTGTGTGTGCACGCGCCTTGGGGAGAAAACCTCATCTGCTCCCACAAGCTGATCCATCATCTCTCCCAGGCTCTGCCCAGAACTGTTGAGGATGGATCAGCCGAAAGGACACAGAGGTCCCTTCTCTTCCTCCAATTCCTGGCTCTGCACAGGAATCCGGATTCCAGGATGGAATTCTCCCTCCTCCCCTCAGAGCACCTTGCCAGGGCCTCACTTTACCTCTCACCGGAGGGGTCTTTTTGTTCAATTTTTTTTTCCTAAACATGGATCTTGCCTCCTTATTCTTCTTCTAAAAATTGATTAGCCCAAGTAGCCTCAAGACTCCCTATGTGTACATCGGGGTGGGCTTTTGAGGACTAGGAGAAGGTGGATACACACTGGCAGCTGACACAGAAGTCGGCAGCTGAATCTCTTTGTTGGGAAAAGCCCAAGGCCTGCTGGGTGGCCTGAGGTCCGCCCTCTGCCTCCAAGGCTAGGGGAACCACAAGTGCAATTTAAAATTTTCTAGTAGCCAAATGGCGGACACTTTGGGGAGAGAAAGAGAGCTCTAACGAGATGGAATGCTGGGACATTCGAGGGGACACTGAGACCATCCCAGGAAAGCAAGGACGTGGATCTTCCTACCATGATATGAGTAGTCAGATAGATTATGATTTTAATAGTAAGACCCCATGACTCTCCCACTTACCCCTGAGACCCCACTTTATTATAGAAAACCCTTCCTAATACCCAACTGTCCTTGTGAGACCTTCAAATAATTCCGCACGACACTCCTAATAATATAGAGTGGCCACGTGGTGTGAGAATCTCCAAGGAGCCTCAAACTCCATTGAGACTCCCCAATACCCTGTAAGATCTCCAAAATGCCAAGGGCCACCCCGTAAAATGCCTAAAACCCTTTAAAACACCCAAAACGATCTCCTACAATGCTCCGAGACATGACCCCAAGAAGAGGCCCACAATAAACCAGCGACTTGTCCCCTAATAATGCCTTTATATCCCTCGAACATCCCATGAGCCCCCCCAATCCATGAGCCCACACTCATGGGTCAAGCGAAAGCGCACCAGGGCAGCCAAAATGCACCTCCCCATAATACTGCTCCTGGGACACCACTCCTCCCCCCATGTCACTCATGAAACACCCTCTCCCAAAGATCCCACAACAGCGAGCGGGGCAGGTGCACAGCGCGTTTATTGAGCTCATACACTTTCTGTCCTCTCCCCTGTCCCTCATTGGAGACGCGTAGCCACGGCTCCCCGCAACAGCTCCTGCTTGCCCACCTGTTTCCCGCGCACGCGCAAGAGGGCCAACACGCTGGGCTTCCGCCTCGGCAGCAAGCATGCGCACAAGCAGCAGAGGAAGTTAGCAAGCCCGGCAGTGAGGCCGGCCCAGCGACTGGTGACGTCACGGAGGCGGGCGCTAAAAGCGATTGGCCGGATGGAGTTTAGAGGGAAGGGGTAGCTATCTCTCCCTCAGTACTTTCACAGGGAGCAGGCCGGGTGGGAGTGGGTTGAGGGGGGCACTTCCAGACCTCACGGAGTTCTGCACATTACCCCCATCATGACTTCTGTATCCCGGCTCCTTGCAAGTGCCCCAGCCCGAGCCCCCAAGTCATCCTTAGTCGGGGCATGTGCCCAGAGCCGAGATGTTCCTTACGACTTGAAGGACAGCTCTTGCCTTGAGCTTGGCCTGTGGTCAGTACCTCACAGGGACCATCAGCCCGAGTAGGGCCAGGAGCCCAGTCAAGTGGGTGTCCAGTGGCCTGGGCCTCCCCGGGCCACTGCCCCCTTCCCTCCAAGCCATAGCCAAGGTCCCGGGGGGTCTCAGGCACTGAGGTCTAACTCGTGATGCTGGTAGATCTGTGTGGGGCCCTTGAAGCAAGCAGCGAAGAGGAAGCGTCTGCCGGCCAAGGTGATGGGGGCAAAGGCACGAGGGGCCACCAGGGCTGGGGGTCCCAGCTCCTGCAGAGGCTCCAGGAGCCCCTTGTCAGGCTCAAGGCGGAAGACCTGGCTGAAGGCGAAGTCACTGCCCAGGATGGCCAGCTGGTCCCTGGCGATGAGCAGTGGCTGAAAGACGTGGGCACCACGTGAGGGAAGCTGCTGCAGGAGGCGGAACATGGAGCCATCCCAGCGCATGACCTGTGAAGTGTGGCGACTAGTTAGGGCCTGGGGTCCGGGAGGGCCAGGCCTGCCGGTAGTCCTCTGGGCTTCAGAGCACCTGGAACAGCTTGGAGACAGGCTTGTAGGTCCCCAAATGCCCTCAGCTTTCCTGCCTTCATACCTGTCACCACCCTGCTGCCCAGGCCCCAGACTTGGAAGTCATTCTTGGCCCTTCTCTCTCCCTCACACCCCACATGGAATCAGTTTTACCTACAGTGGTATCTGTTTGTCCCATCTCCTGTGGCCGCGCTCCGCCCAGCCACAGTCACCTCCCTCCGGGACGGTAGGCTCTGCCCTGGGCTCCCCACTCCCATCCCTGCACCCACAGTCTGCTCCCCACACACATGTCCCGTGAACACCTGAGTCAGACCACTGCCTTCTAGGCTCAGAGCGCTCCGCTTGGCTGTTCCTCACCCCAGAATGAGAATGCTGGTGGGGGTGGGCCATCAGCCTTGGGGGTCCAGAGTGTGGTGGCTGTGGCCAAATGTAAGTCGCAGAGTGTGTCAGAGTTACAGAGCCGGAGGGTGGGGCCCAGCGTCAGTGTTGGGGGGATAGGAAGTGGCTTATGGTCAGCCAGCCTGGAGGAGTCACAGTGGTCTTGGAGTCAGTGGAAGGGTGGCCAGAGTTCAAAGATCAGTACATTAGGTGGGGTCAGAGCTCGAAGGTCAGCCTGTGAGGTCAGGTCAGAGCGCAGAGGCCCATGTGCAAAGGTGGGGTCAGCGCTGAAAGACCAGCCCACACGAGGGGCTGGTCTGCGGCAGGTCAGGTCTGGCTTGTGGCCTCCACCGCCTGCCCCACCTGACTGCGCCGGGCCTCACCATGGAGTCCCCGATGTAGCGCGTCAGGCACAGGAACACGTCCCCACCAGCCTGGAAATGGCGTGTGGCGTAGACGTCCTCGGCCTCGGGGATGTCCGTGCGCCTCTCGAAGCGGCCCCCGAGCCAGTGGAAGAGCACGGGCCGCTGGGAGGCGGAGGCCAGCAGCAGATGGGGCCGGCCGTCCAGCTCCAGGGCCTCGGCGTCCGTGTCCCGGTGCCAGGCGTGCAGGCTCTGGCGGGGGTAGAAGCCGGGCCCGTCCTGGCACAGCAGCGTGGTGCTGCCCGCCTTGGAGGCGTCGGCCACCACGAAGCAGGGCCGCCCGTCCAGCCACAGGAGCTCGGCGTCGTTGGGCCGCAGCAACCGCCGC